GAAAAAAAGTTTTCAGTCTGGTCATTTTAGTCAGTCGGTTTGGAGAGGCAGACAACCAAACATTTTTTAAAGATGGCCTATTTCTACACTTCATGGACATTAGCTCAATCATTGGATTAGGTAGTCTGAGAATCTAAATTGAAATATCAGACAGAACAAAATAAAGATGAATTCTAAGTGACATCAATTCATACTTTAATGAGTTTACAGAGTACTTCTGATTTCACAGAAAAGGCAAATTCTGCAAAATGACATAACACTGTCATAAATATTTGTCAAGAACAGGGAAAAAGAAACAATGCTACAGTGATTGATGTATCTCATTGATATCTATGAAATAATAATTTAAATGTAACAAAATTTTCTCCTTTTTAAAATCAAAATACTAGAAAAAATTAAAAGATTATAAATGTAAACAATTTTAAAATAAACTACATGTATTTGTGAAAGATTTTAATTTTAGTAGATTACTAAACTGGTCTTATCAATCCTACTAAATTAACAACCTTACAATTTCCAAGTGTCAAGTTTTAAACTGTTACAGTAGATATAATTATACATATTCACTGCAGCTTTATGTACAAAACTCATCAGTTTTCAGAAATACTTATTTGAGCATTTGGGTCCTGATAAGAACAAAATTTAATGAAAAATATTAATCTTAATTGTTCATGTATTAATTTCCATGCAATTTTACAAACCCTTTTAAGAAACTTGTTACATGTAAGTATAGACAAAAGCAACCTTCGATTAATACCTATGATGTATACATTTATTTTACTGAAAACAAATTCAAATATGGACAAACAGAGCATGCACTGCAATCATCATATACATGTACAAATTTTCTAAATATATGGAAAACAGCATGTATATACTAGAAAGGATGTTGTTTAACATTAAATTTTCTTCTATAATCTATAGACATATAAAAATATGCATTGGGTATAACAAGTCAGAAGTTCTTCTCCAAATCTCCATTGGTTTTGCCATGTCTGGTTCAACATCTTAGCTTGATCCATCCAACTTTCTTTAATATTCTTGAGCTGATATGGGATGACTTCTACTTAGATTGATGGCACAAATCTTTTAAGAAAACACTGAAGTACTTTTTTTTGGTTCTTATCTATTCCAATTAATGATCCATGATCTGAAATCATATGTGTTCATTTTTGCAATAACATTTAAGGAATTGCATTTTTGGAATTCCATAAAGGAATTGCACTGAGTTTCATTCACTCAATGAAATGAATAAATTTCCAATATAATCAATGAAGAATCAATATGAAATTATTGTAAAATTTACAGATTGAATTAGTGAAATGCAAATGCTTGATCAAGAAAATTAATGTTCTTGTCATGCACAATCTGTATCTCTTTTTTATTAATTAGAAAATAGATATTAATTAAAAACAAACCTCATTTAAAAAGGTAACTTGAACAATTGAATACCTGTTCCAATAATGTTACAAATATTAGGCCTAAAAAGCAAGGATTTTATTTTTCATAATTTCTTGAATGAATTATTTTTTGGCAATGTTGGGATATTAGTCACATCCTGACATCCTTGTACCGTTTATTCATCGTTTTTAAATCCGTAGTCAGTAGATCATTCATAACTTTCCGTAAAAAGAATAGTTAAATAATTACGGTTTACCTGATGAAAATACTATCAACATCAAACTGTCAACATCATCATTGGACATGGTCAAATGCATCGTGACTTTTCTTCCCTGTTCGGACTGCATATAGGGCATTATCCTGTTATTAGCATCGCGATGCGAATAATTTTTGACGTTGTTGACGTAAATAAAATTATAATTTTGCGAGCTTAGAATTAAAAATTTAGTCTTTAAACAACAATATTTATGGATTTTATGCTTATTCCGTTAATTCCCACTCTCTGTCATCGGCTTATACATAAGTCATGTCTGACAGAGGAACGAAAGACAACTCTGCATGGGAAATTTGTTACTTCCGTGATATTTTTAGAAATAACCTTATTCTCAAGTACGGTATAAAAAATAATGCATTTTTGAAAATGCGGAATAAATGTCTTCATAAACAAAACTATAAATTATATAACTAAAAAATTCAATATATATGTACTTTATTTTGTTATAAATGAGTTGAGATACATATATAACGGAATAAATGTCTTCATAAACAAAACTATCAAAATTTATTATATGAACTTTATTCCGTTATATAAAAAAGTTGAGATAAATGTATTAACGGAATAAATGTCTTCATAAACAAAACTATACTGCAAAATTCAATATATGCACTTTATTCCGTTAAAAATAAGTTGACATAAATATATTACGGAATAAATGTCTTCATAAACAAGCTATCAAAATTCAATACATTGTATATGCACTTTGTTCCGTTATAAATAAGTTGAGATAAACATTTAACGGAATAAGCGTCTTCATAAACAAACTATCAAATATCAATATATGCACTTTATTCCGTTATAAATAAGTTGAGATAAACATTTAACGGAATAAATGTCTTCATAAACAAAACTATCAAAATTCATTATATGTACTTTATTCCGTTATGTAGAAATAAGTTGAGATAATTGATAACGGAATAAATTCCAAGGTCTTCAAAAACAAAACTTTCAAAATTCAATATACCCCGGACGGTATGCACTTTCTTCATATACGGAATAAATGCTATCTATTGCGATTACATGTAAATGCACAATACATTTTAGTACTCTCATTTATTCTTTTTCTGATCAATTTCATTCATAAAATAACATATCTAAAATTTCCATATCGGATATTTTATTTCTGCACGGATTTCAATGTACAATGTATTCCAGAACAGGTTAGGAAGTAAAAGTCCTTTGTTTGTACGTTGCGTGACAGTCTGAGTGTAAAGAAATCCCGCACGCTTCAGTAGAGGTAGAACATTGAAGAATCGCTCATCACGATCGTCTACTACACTTTTAAGAAAACTGAATGCATTGTGAAACTAAAAAAAATATGTTGTAATCTTCCCTCTTTGTGAGGCTTATGATCTTGATATTTGGAAACGTCGTCTCTCTATATATACTTCTGTTATTAGCATCGCGATGCGAATTAGTTTTCGGGTATTAAAATGTTCTTCGTCTCTCTATATATACTCCTGTTATTGGCATCGCGATGCTAATTAGTTTGGAGGTATTTTATCCATTAAAACGAGCCATTTTAAGAACGATCCCCCCAAAAAAGCCAAGCCCCATTTTTTTCTGATGGTATCCCCCAAAGAAACCCTTTTCCCGGGAATACTTCCCTTTGTGGAGCTTATAATCTTGATATTTGGAAACGCCGTCTCTCTATATATACTCCTGTTATTAGCATCGCGATGCGAATTAGTTTTGCGGTATTTAAAATGTCCCTCGTCTCTCTATATATACTCCTGTTATTGGCATCGCGATGCTAATTAGTTTGGAGGTATTTTGTCCATTAAAACGTGTCATTTTAAGAGTGATCCCCCCAAAAAAGCCAAGCCCCATTTTTTCTGATGGTATCCCCCAAAGAAACCCTTTTCCCGGTAATACTTCCCTCTGTGGAGCTTATAATCTTGATATTTGGAAACGTCGTCTCTCTATATATATACTCCTGTTATTAGCATCGCGACGCGAATTAGTTTTCGGGTATTAAAATGTTCTTCGTCTCTCTATATATACTCCTGTTATTGGCATCGCGATGCTAATTAGTTTGGAGGTATTTTATCCATTAAAACGAGTCATTTTAAGAATGATCCCCCCAAAAAAGCCAAGCCCCATTTTTTTCTGATGGTATCCCCCAAAGAAACCCTTTTCCCGGGAATACTTCCCTTTGTGGAGCTTATAATCTTGATATTTGGAAACGCCGTCTCTCTATATATACTCCTGTTATTAGCATCGCGATGCGAATTAGTTTTCAGGTATTTAAATGTCCCTCGTCTCTCTATATATACTCCTGTTATTGGCATCGCGATGCTAATTAGTTTGAAGGTATTTTGTCCATTAAAACGTGTCATTTTAAGAGTGATCCCCCCAAAAAAGCCAAGCCCCATTTTTTCTGATGGTATCCCCCAAAGAAACCCTTTTCCCGGGAATACTTCCCTCTGTGGAGCTTATAATCTTGATATTTGGAAACGTCGTCTCTCTATATATACTCCTGTTATTAGCATCGCGGTGCAAATTAGTTTTCAGGTATTTAAATGTCCCTCGTCTCTCTATATATACTCCTGTTATTGGCATCGCGATGCTAATTAGTTTGGAGGTATTTTGTCCATTAAAACGTGTCATTTTAAGAGTGATCCCCCCAAAAAAGCCAAGCCCCATTTTTTCTGATGGTATCCCCCAAAGAAACCCTTTTCCCGTGACTACTTCCCTCTGTGGAGATTATAATCTTGATATTTGGAAACGTCGTCTCTCTATATATACTCCTGTTATTAGCATCGCGGTGCGAATTAGTTTTCAGGTATTTAAATGTCCCTCGTCTCTCTATATATACTCCTGTTATTGGCATCGCGATGCTAATTAGTTTGGAGGTATTTTTTCCATTAAAACGAGTCATTTTAAGAGTGATCCCCCCAAAAAAGCCAAGCCCCATTTTTTCTGATGGTATCCCCCAAAGAAACCCTTTTCCCGGGATTACTTCCCTCTGTGGAGCTTATAATCTTGATATTTGGAAACGTCGTCTCTCTATATATACTCCTGTTATTAGCATCGCGGTGCGAATTAGTTTGGTACGTGGTATTTAAATTATTTTTTTCCTCTAAATTTTACTTCAAACAATTTAAAATCATTAAATGTTGAAATATTAAGTCATTTAACGCTTCTGACGTAACGTAAAATAACGTCAAAAATTATTAGCATCGCGATGCTAATAACAGGATAATGCCGCATATAGCATAATACGAGTACTTTACAGGATACTCTCAGGTCTTTTCTTTTTTCTTTCCCATTCTTGCTTAAAATTTTAGTGTAGTGGTGAAGCGAGAAACAGCACAATGCGTCAATGACTTTCTTCTGATCGGCCGTGCAACTTGCCACGTTCCATATCGAAAATAAACAAGTCCTCCTTTATTGGTTCATCCACGTGCATCACGCTAATCTCAAAGGCTTCTAAGATTCCTATGCTTTGATTTGTTATAAGACTTTCTCCTGAAAACGTCCTTTGTTTTAGTCCTAACAATAAGTGACAACAAACATCAAGTATGACAGAGGAAATTCGTTACCGAGATGCTTAGCATCGCTGGTTTAAATTCGCCTGTTTCAAACGCTTTGGTGATTTGCAAGAGTTATCTCCCTGTAAACGCAAACCTTACCTTAAGATATAACGGGATATCTATGCTACAGATGTAAAATATAGAGCTCTAAATATAAATTTACCTGTAATAGTACTCTGTATAACATGTAAGCAAGTCATAATGTATTTGTCTCCCATACGGAATCCTGTTCCTGCAGGATGCCCGTCGATGTAAATTATCCCAACACTTCTACTGACTTCTGCTTTGAGCTGACTCGTCATCACATCTCGTTGATACGTTGTCTTTGAAAAGGGATACAGTGGTCCTGTCTTCGGTAAATTTGTCTTCGGCTATATAAAGTATATCAAATTATTGTATTGTATTATATTAGATGTATTATTGTATAATTGAAACTTAAGATAAAAGTCACCAGATAGTCTTCCACATTTGTTGCATATTTCTATGTTTTTTTATGTATAGACGATAAGAGCTAACTTAAAAGTGAAGATAACAAACAGATCGTTCTAAAAAATCTAGGGTTATGGTTAGGCTGTGGAGTAGCATCCATTGTTAATGGGTCATACCCGCCATACATGTATGTATTGATGAGATAGGCGAACTTTCCGAAGTCAATTCTGTACAAAAATAAGGACCTTGTTTTAATTCTGACTATGACATGAAATATATGGAGATATCGAACTGTATTTTAAACTTAGGAGCAGAGCAAACACGGACCTCCAAAACATCAGAAGTTTGACAAGGTGTTATTGAGAAGTGAGCAACGCTATTGACAAGTCGCACCCGCCGTGTGTTCCTTGTCATGATCAGGAAAAACAGAAAATCTTACTATAATTTAGATATATAATAGCATAACATTTACTATGAAAATCGTCAGTCAATGTTTGTCGTAAAGATAAATTGTGTTTGCTGACAAAATCATTGTATCGACTATAGAACTTATGGAATGAAGACTTAAAATAAGACTAATACAGGTATTCTTTTTTCAGCATGCTAGATAAAGTTAAAGTATCTCCTCGGTTCACTATATAGAAACCATTATATGAAAAGCACAATTCCCCTTAAGAATTTGTAGAATAATATGGTCTGAATTTCAATACAATTCTGTTTTATATCATAACTCATTCAAATAAATTAAATAGTATAAACGTAACTGAAAACAAAATTATCATTTTTATTCACGAAGTGTGAAGAAAAATTTTATACAATAACCTCTGAATCTGTTGAAATATTTAAATAATTCCACTCCTGCGCTGAACTCTTTATGTGTGAATGGCATTGCGAAGGCTTTGATTCCTCCTTGGAAAAAGAAGAGACATATTAGCTTTGTTAAATATCTTGGGTTTTTTTCTCTCTCTATTTCTCATTCATGTTTTTTGGAAAAGTTTTTATAATCATCGTTTTTTACCATGGATTATTAAAACCATCATCTGAATTTGATATTTAAAGGAGAAGGGTGGAGACACAGGAAGCTTAAGGAATGTTGATTATACAGAAAATCATTTCAATATATATATTATTAATATAACTGAAAATAAGTATTCATGCTGAAATATTCAAAACATTGTTTACATTAAGGTCACGAACTATTGTTATGTAATTTCCTACTTTTTTCTCTGTTTCCTGTTTCCAGAATCGCAGAGTACTGTAAACGTTAATTTCGTGTTTTTCATCAATGGGACAGCTGCATTGGATCGTTTCATTTTCTATTTCGAACAATTCACTCTCAGGAATAAATGACGGATCCTTTTCATTGCATATAATGTTTTGACATTTGAAGCCTCTTTGAAAATTTTTCTTTTCAGCAAAGGTTTTTGTGAGTTCTGATAGTCCAAATTCAATATCATTTCCGATTTTATGGCATACTTGAGATTCTAGTGGTAAAGGAGCAATACGCATGACTTGCAGCTGTATGTCATCATCACATATACCAAGAATAAAAGTGTGATGTTGATGTTCAAACACTGCGGCCGTATGATAGAGACATTGACTGTCTTTATCACAGGCAACACGCCATCCGAGGAAACTCATGCAATAAGCCACAAGCCGATAAAACACAAACGTGGCAAAGGAGTCGAATCGAAAACATAAGATTGACGAATAACTCCAATTTTTTTCAAAGATGTCTTTTTTGAAGGGTTTACTGTTCATGCATGGGACATACCAAGACATTTCAGTTTTCTTGTCACTTATAATGACAAGCATTCGCAGCCTCTCCATATAAGACATAAGCTCAACTTTGTGTTTAACATACAATGGTTCCTCTTTCCAAAGAGCATCGAGAAGTGTTTCCTTTAGTTCCCCTGTCTCGTTGAAACATTCCCATTCTTTAATATATCTTCTTTTACAGTCTGTGGTGACGTGATTCTTATCAGCAATAATTCTGCTGAATGCATTAGAGAACCATTGTATTCCAAGAATAACATGTTTATTTAGTCCTTTTTCGTCGAAATAGATAAGAATTCCATGTGCATGAAAAAATATTAAGAAATCAAAAATTTCATTTGTTTTCAATTGGTATTCTTCAGGAATTTCATTATTGACTTTTTCGATTTCATCAGTGGACAGCAGCGGCTGCCTTAGTTTTTTCAAATAATGTTCAAGTAAAGCCCAGGAAGACGGAACTTCAATCTTTGTGTCTAATTTACGAGATACTATGTCTGCAATTGCAGATTTTATGGACTGTAGAGAATTCTTACATCCTTTGTTCATTTCTTTTTGTCCAATTGCAAATTCATTTCCATCAATAGACTTGTAGAGCCATGATTTGTCTTCTTCTGGAACGGCACGCCAAAAGCTCTCAAAGAATTTTTCTATTTCCTGATTGAAATTTAAAAAAATATTATTTTAATGTTCATTTTATTTCTTTTTAAGTATACTTTACTTTTAAATCCATGACTCACTTAAAATATATCTTAAGAAAAAGTGGTACCAAATATTAACTGAACAAACACTCTCTGATGAAACATATTGGTGTCTGTATTTCATTTATGTTATATAAAACATTTGACGTGACAAAATTACAAAAGATTAGTGATCAACATACGGAGTATTATTTATGCTCCGTTGTAAGTTGATCTGCTTGCAATAATCAAAAAAATTAATTTCGACTCCGTACAACACGTAGAAACAAAAGTTGACTGTAACTTTAGATTTTAAAAACCACCAAGTAAAGAATGGGACAAAACGCCACGGACAGTAAAGATTAAATGTTTGTTAATTTAATTCATTCATTTCATAAATCAAACTAATTGAATTCGCTAAGTTTCTAAGGACTGGTATTGCAAAGAGTATTTAACTGATTAAAAAACTTCAATATTTATACGTGGGTTATTAATGTTTGAAATCTCATAAAAGTACAATGTTTAACTTATTTTACTCGTCAGAGTAAACACTTCATATTCTTTTTTGTAATTAATTTTAACCACTGGGGAAAAAGTATATACACGTATTAAATTTAATGGTAACAGTTTTTGGAAAACCATTAAAATATTCAAAAAGGCTAATTTGAAAGTTTAACTAGATCATGGGATAATGAAGGATATCGAGATAACGAACCGTATTCAATATCGAAGTCCATAAAACAATAGAAATTAGAAGCAGAGCAAACACGGACCTCCAAAATGTCAGAGATGGAATCACGTGTCATAGAGGAGTGCGCATCCCTTGCCGAACGGTCATGCCGTGTGCTCCTTGTCATGATCATGAAATAACAGAAAATCCATCGTCAATTCGGTGTATATATAATGGACAAACAATTAGTAAGAAAAACGTCAGTCAGCATTTGACTCAATGATAAATTGAATTTGAGATTTGAGACTTTGACTTTGAGATTGAATGCTGTTCGTTATCACCATATCCTTCCTTTGCTGATAAGGTAAGTGTATCGACCATAGAACATACGAAATGATGACTTGTTGATATTCTTGTTTCATAAACTTGTTTGTCAATAACTTACCTCGTTTTAGAAATTGTTCATACGTAGGACTCTTGCGTATCGAATCAAATGAGATATAAAAACCCCGTATGCAGTATATTGCTGCATAAGTAAGGGAAGCTGACGAAAGAAAAGTAAAAGTCATCACGTTTATCATAGAGCTCGGTTGTTAGATGACCATTAACGTCTTTTTCAAGTAAAATATCTAAGTATGAAACAGATGTGTCAGAGTCTGTGGAATCTTTTATCTGAAGCTCACCAGGAGATATCCTATATACATAGGAATGGAAATTACCACTGTTAATAGACAATTCGTCGTCGATATATCTAAATGTCGATTTAAAGGCCACTGCAAGTGTTTTCTTCTTTTCACGCACAGACTGAACACAAATTCTGCTTCATATGAATACAAAAACGGTCTGCCAATAACGAAGCTCAATTGGTACCCATGTAGAATAAGGGGGCAATACTGTGCCTTAATTAGAAAATTGATCCTATATTATACATTAGAAAACTGGATTTCACAGTTGTCTAAAATTATTTGTCGTCATTTGTGAAAAAAAATTATTATTTGGACTACTCCTTCAATTCAATAGATGGACATTACTAGACAAAGCATTTTTGGCATCTAACAACAAAACTACTTCGTTTGAAAATTTAACATAATCTGTACAGAATAATATAACTTTCATGACAAAGTAAAATTTCCATTTTTGTTTTGATTAATTTGTTATACTTTTTCTTACTTGACAAATATTTTTTGTAATGTTCATTATCATTTTGCACACGTATATTGGCAGATAATAATAAAAAGTCACAGAATAGTTCATGACTTACATCCTTTGTTTTGCCCTCTGCGTGTGTTGCTACTAGAAGTACTGAAGCATCAGAACCACCGAACGATTTGATGGAGTTGATCCAGTATCGTAAATAATCTGCAAATAGAATATGAAAGAAGTTATACATCCATCTGAGTTATAGAAACATTTCTATGTAGTTGTATAAAAAGGGTTTGCTAAAAACCACTCTAGTGACTCGCTTTTGAAGTTTACATAGTTTCCTAAGGTCGTCTTAATTCCTCATATTGCTCCAAACAGTACAACAGTAATTAAAATGAGGAAAAAACAATTGTATGAAAAAATGTTGTCAAAAACTCAAGAGAAAGAATGATCTTAATCTAGACAAAACACCTTTTTTGCTTGCAAGTCTTTTCGTTAAAATTTGAACATGTTCTGACCACGTTAGACATCTGTCAATGTAAACACCAAGAAGTTTCGCACAAGATACATTTTCAAGAAAAATACTGAGCTGTATACACTTCACGCTTTGTACCTCTCAAACCTTCAGTACTGTTCATTGTAATAAGTTTCGATAAAATTTCCTTCCATCACACATGATTTTTAAAATTTGTCAACGACTGTATTGCAAGTCTTAAACTCATATTCTAATAAATAAAGGAAGGTTATTAACAAATAAGATATAATTGAGATTTTAACCCATGGAAATTCCATTAGGTTGTTGGAAGACCTGGTCTCCAAAAATCACATAGATATTGTCAATAAGAAACTCAAGCATCTTTTAAATGTCAACATCAGATGACTTGTGTGTACAATCAGGATGCTTTTTTGCTAGCGCTCTCGAGCGCTAGCAACTACGTTGGTCCAAATTCCTTGAATACGCATGCTCGGCCGCCATGGCCGTGCATTCTGGGAAAACTGAAAACTATTACAGATAGACCGTGCGATAACAATTTCGTTGTATCATGTTGTAGCATGAAATAATTGTTTATTTATTGTGTAGCTTACACTTTAAAGATAACTTCATATTTATAATAATTCAAATTCTGTTTTTTTTTTTTTTTTTTTTTTTTTTTTTTTTTTTTTTTTTTTTTTGCTGACGGAAAAGCCCGAGTCATTATATGTTTGTTCTAAACAATGACAAGGGAGTTTTTTTTTGTTTGTTTGTTTGTTTGTTTGTTTGTTTGTTTGTTTGTTTTTTACACCTAAGCACAACCAAAGAAAGATTCTAATTTCTGATTGGTCAATTCAGCCAATCTTACAAATTCCAGAAACAGAAGCAAGAATTTACACTAAAAATAACGAATAAATCCACTATTTGTGTTAAAAAAAATTCTGATGTGTATGGCTTTTTATGGAAAGCCGTAGGGTACCCTCACATTATTATTATATTTTCCTATATATCTATACCAAAAATAATTATCTCATCCAAACTTGCTTTTTACAACATTATTATTATTTTCCTGCAACAATTATAATCTTGTCTGTTAAATGTGTACACATTATTATTATTTTGTCCTACAATTATAATGATCCACTTCACAATAATAATCTTGCCAGTCAATGTGGACACATTATTATAATTTTTCGCCTCTTGATTATAATCTTGTCAGCCGATGTTTTAAAACATTATTTTTATTTCACCTCAAAATTATAATAATTATTCTTACTTTTAACAATTATAATCTTGTTTGCCCGAGCGAACACATTATTTTTATTTCGCTTCAAATTTATAATAATTATATTCCACATCGATCATACAATTATAGGGTGCGTTCACAATTCTCCCATTGGTTAATGTTGGTGGTGTTATTTACCAATGGCAAAACATTGGTACCAATGTTTACTATTGGTAACTTTTATTGGTAACCAATTTTGCAGGCCAACCACATCTCTGGCAGATTGGTAACCCAGATTTTTTCGTTTATTAGTGTCAACCCCCAAGATGGCTACCTGGACCGTTCCTGGTAGCACGAGAGAAGTTTCCTCACTAGTAATAACACTTCAGATGAATATTCTACTACAATATAAGGGGAAATATATGTTATCTTTACATAGTATTCCAAATTTCAAACAAATGATTACTTGTATTGGAAAAAGAATATCACCTGAAGACAAGTTTTCATATACAGGTGACTCTCGATCTCTCGAAGTTCAAGGGACCGCGAGAAAAGTTCGAGAGATCGAGGGGTTCGAGAGATGGAAAGTAAATAAAATCCGGAATTTTCAGTTCCGATCATCGAAGTTCTACTTTTACAGATACCGGAAGTATATGTTAATAATGTCATTGCACGTCTTCAATCGTATTTTACAGGTAATTTACTTGATTTCAACAACAATGATTGTATTTCAAATAAATAAAACGAATTCCTAAATATTCAATATTTATTTGTTCCTATTACATGATGACATGAAACCCGAATAGCAATCGCAGGTTTGGCTATTCCGCGGCTTGATCGGGTCCTTCACCAGTGTTCACCAGATTTTTCTTAATCGGTATTCTGTCCTTGAGAAAAGAATTTCTTGTGTAATATTTCCCATACTGGGATTATGTAGACTCTATATAATCAAAATGAATGTTCATAGTCTATGAGAACTTACTAAAACGAACATCTATAAATTAATTTAAAAATAATTATCGTCTCGGTTTCAATTCAAAATAAGTTGTGAATTTGTTTTTAATTTACCCCGTGAATAATAACCAATTAATTAAAACAACACACTGACGACCCACAGGTGTAGTGTCATCTATGTAAACAACCAATTAACACCTCCATGCCAGCCCAAGACCTTCACGGTTTCCAGGTAAGTCCAGACGGCATCAATTTTACGCTTGACTGGTTTGTATACACGCGCAATCAACTTCGAGAGATAGAGAGTAAAATTCAATGAAATATGCGTAACGGGACCCAGGTTTTGGTTCGAGAGATAGAGAACTTCGAGAGATGGAAGTTCGAGAGATCGGGAGTAAATTTGCTTACTTATATAGAGGGAAAAAACGGGACCGGAGGTTCACTTCGAGAGATAGAGAACTTCGAGAGATCGGAGTTCGAGCCATCGAGAGTCACCTGTAAAGTTATGTCCATAAAAGTAATTTATTTTGTTTTAGGAATACAATAAACAAACTTCATTTTGAATTTGTTGTTTCTGGAAAATGGTGAATAACTCAACATTTGCCGTTGGTTACCATTGATTACCATTGGTGACCATAAGTAACCAAGCGTTACCATTATTCACTATTGACAACCATTGGTACAGCCTTTGGTTGTTTTGTCATTGGTTTACCAATATGCTGTTCACAGTTTAAAGGCAACCTATTGTACCATTGTTCAACATTGGTGCCAAAGACAAGCCAATGGCATATTGATATTTGTACCAATGGAAGAATTGTGAACGCACCCATAATCTGTCTCTCCAACAATAATAATCGCGACCAAAAAAGTTGCAACATTATTATTATTTAGACGCTTGAAATCAAACGTTTGTGTGATTTTGATGTACTGAACAATTATAATCTTGTTGCTAGCGCTCTCGAGCGCTAGCAACTACGTTAGTCCAAATTCCTTGAATACGCATGCTCGGCCGCCATGGTCGTGCATTCTGGGAAAACTGAAAAACTACTACAGATAGACCGTACGATAACAATTTCGTTGTATTGTGTTGTAGCATGAAAGAACTGTTTATTTATTGTGTAACTTACACTTTAAAGATAACTTCATATTTATAATATTTCAAATTCGGGGGGGGGGGGGGGGGGTTTGCTGACGGAAAAGCCCGAATTATTATCTGATTGCTCTAAACAATGACAAGAGATGTTTTTTTCCTTTTTTTTATTTTTCTTTTTTTTTTTTTTTTTTAAATCTAAGCACAACCATGATTGGTCAATTCAGCCAATCTTACAAATACCAGAAACAGAAGCAAGAATTTACACTAAAAATAACTATTTGTGTTTTAAAAATTCTGATGTGTATGGCTTTTAACCTAACATATCTTGACAAAGATGACCCAAAGGACCAATTAAGCTACTTCACATGCGTTCCAAACTCTCTGGACTCTTTACACGACATACACTTCGAGTTATTTTCTATATTCCTTTCAGCTCCAATGAATTTTCTTTGCTACATTGCCAAGAAATTCTCTTCTTTAAATCAGCTCATACATGAAATGTCTCAATCGGCATCTTCTTCATATCATATAGACCCCCCCCCCTCCAGTAAAGGTCATATATGTTCCGTTGCGCCAAAACTCCAATAGGTCACCCCCCCCCTTAGTTCTTAACCTTTGTGTCTATAAATTACGCCTCACAGAACAATAATAACTTTATCACTCTCCAGCCTTTATAAAAATTAAAGAATTCATCAAAATAAATCACTTGATCACGGATCTTCCTTTCTGTGTTTGAAAATTGCTACGGCGCTAGCTCACCTATCTTTTTAAAAGATAAACTTGTAACAAAATTATTTTGTTAACAACCAATGACAAGGTAAATTGATTTACGATTTCCATTTTTAGCTGCCGATGATATCAAAAAGCCTGGACTTTAATTTATCGCGGAGAATGGTGGTGTATAACGTTCAAAAGTCGTAAGTCTTTAAGCTGTTGGTTTTGGTAAGATCTTGTAATTTTAAATATTCCAAATTAAAGATCCATGGAATTTATACATATCCACATCTGATTAACACCACTTCTTAAATATATGGTTGCACAATACTCTTGACGTTTGTCCTTCACTGCTGTTAATATCTTAGTGAGAAGTAAAGAGAGAGAAGCTTGGTGGATCCTATACTGGAACCCGCTATGTATCTTTGTTTATAAGGAATTTTATGAATCCAATATAGATTTGTTAATTTAAAATCATTTTGTTTGTTTGGAATATTAAAAATACTCAAAACTGACATGTAATTTTGAAGAATTTCTTCCTTAGAAAGGGATTTCTGAGTATAAGTTGGATTACTATTTCTAGACTTAAATCCAAGTTCCTCGAAAATACATGTAATAAAATGAGCCTAACAAACAAAGACAATGTTGTTATCTGCTTTGTCAGCAGGGACTATTATGTTCTTATAATGTAATCTATCTAATTCTTGTTTTCACTTCTGCATTATTGAATACAGAGGGATAGATGGTTTTCACGAAAT